AGTACTGGCCCCAGCCTCCCCTACCGCCCCCAGGGTAACTTGCAATGCACCAAAGCATGTGTGGTATGGGTATTCCCTGGGAACAAGAAGCTGCAGCCCAAGGTGCACCGCTGCTACTTGTCCCTGGGGAACTAAGCGTTCATGCTCATCTGGATGCAGCCACTATGTCTACATTACATTGCTGCTGATCACCTGCCATGCCATCTTCTAAAGAGCATGATGTTGTACTACAGATGTACTCTGCACTGCTATGTGGCAGATCTACATAGATTCCTAGTCCCAGTCTCATGCTGCACTGGTTAGTTGATATTGGGAGCGTCAGAGAAGATGTACTTTCATCGAATGAAACAGTGAGTGTGTTATACTGAATACTGATGCCTCTGACCTGTTAGCAAGTTCTAACAGGAGTCTTGGCCAAACCTTCTTGACTAGACGACACGCGTGTGATCAGAGGGCAAGAGAACAGGCCTTATGAAGAGAGGCTGAGAGTCATGAGACTCTTCAGCCTGGAAAAGCACAGGCTCAGGGGTGACCTGGTGGCAGCCCATAAGTATATAAGGGGTGTGCATCAGGATCTGGGGGAGCGCCTGTTCACCAGAGCGCCCTTTGGGATGACAAGGTCCAACAGTCATAAACTCCTCCAAGACTGCTTTAGGCTGGACATAAGGAAAAACTTCTTTAGGCCTGGAATAGACTCCCTCCAAAAGTGGTGCAAGCACCTGCTCTGGACTATTTTAAGAAATGTTTGGACACTTATCTTGCCAGGGTGATCTGACCCCAGCTGACTTCCTGCCCCTGGGGCAAGGGACTGGACTCAATGATCTTCCGAGGTCCCTTCCAGCCCTAATGTCTATGAAATCTATGAAGCATGGCTAGATCACAAAACATCATGGGGAGGATGAAAAACACTTCAGCTCAGATGCAAGATAAACTGGAAGGAAAGCAAGATAACCGAAGTTCCTACTGCACTTCATTCTCAGGGAGCTCGTGACCTTGCTTTTGAAAGTGCTGCTGGATAAAATGGAAACCCAGCAAATCCAAAACAGGAACTTCTAAGAGGCCACTTCCTAGGATTGGTAAATGGAGAAACTAAGAATGAGGCATTTACCTGGAGCAAACTACAGCATGGCAGCTGTGTACAAATGTGCATTTCAAGGGAAGACATTGAAAATGTGAGAAAATTGGCTCTGATTCATTTGAGGCAAATTGCCATACCTGGGACAGGGCTAAATGGCTTCTAGGGGCTATGCTATACATTGAGGTAGGTAGTTTTTAAAAACAGTAGTGTTTCTAGAGGCAGCTGCCTCCTCAACAAATATAGTTAATCTCTGAATAAGGTAGACAAGAAACCCGCTGCCAGATGTGACACTTTAGACTCCAAGGAGTTAGCAGCTAGAGGCAATGGTCATAGTGCATTAGGGAGAAGACAAACCTGGCTGCATCATTCTCAGTTAAAGCAGACATATAAAAATAAGGAAACAATTTGCCAGGAAAAGCTCCACTGCACTTACTTAGTAACCAGACTTCCTGAACACAAAACCAAAACAGACAATCAGAGGTGGAAAGAGCATAAAGAGGTGGGAAGGATAACAAAGTGCTGAGCCCTGAAGGAGTCCATCTCTGAATAACAACTCACAGAGGCAGAGGCATTCCATCCCATTCAAATTTATGAACAAAATGAGGGCATTTTTATTACAGATTAGAGCTTTGATTAGAGCGAGGAAAACAGAGTTGCTGCTGCTGCTCCATATCTGCCCTTTTCCTACACTGTGCTCAGCAGAAAAGAAATGTTCCCCACCATGTTGCAGGTTAGTCCCACCTGCTCTGCAAGGTCAAACAAGTTCTTCTGCAGTGCTCTGCCCAGATGTGGTGATAATAGACAAATTCACTTCAGCTCCAGTTGTTACTTCCTCCCATGAACATTGCCTGCCTTGTGTCTCTTCAAACTGATTTTGTTCAAGGTGAATTCTCTAGTTTGGGTCAAATGGCTCTGCAAAGGGAATGAGCTCAAATGCCAAAAAAAACCCCGACAATTCTCCCTCCAAATCCATAAAACAGACTGTTGTGGGCCATGCAATATTCTAATAGGTTTCCTATAAATTAAAGACCGTAAAACAGTCACCAGTTTAGTCAAGTAGTAACAGTCAAGTAGTATAGGCAAAAGCTTACAGACTTTGAGACCCAGCCATAACACCAGACACACCTTCTGCCTTTACTAATTAATCATTCAGCCAGGTCCGTTGGTTGCTCCTACGCATAAAATTTCCCACCTGAACACCTGACAGGCCACTGAGATGTTTGGAAGCAGTATAGACTAGTTACCAGGGTAGAGGACCGGCACACTAAAGAGGCCAGGGTCCTTTTCCCAGCTCTGACATTGGCCAGCCAGATATCAAGCAAGTCACTGCACTCAGGCTTCCCACCTGTAAAATGGAAATAACGAATACAAGCAAACATACATTTTAGCTACTTTAAACAGGGCAGAGTGAAGGGAGTTGCTGCAACATCAGCTGTTTTCATCTGTCTTCATGATCCTGTAGTGATAGAAGTGAGCTAAATCACCTTAATTTTAATCCTGAATGAAGCAAAATTCAAGCTGGAGTAGTTTTGCTATACCAGCATCACTACAGAATCATGCAGACATAGTTGCTTTGTAAAAGTCTATAGGAGTATCCTGCAATATTGATACCATTATTATATATTAGTATTGATACAATTATTAATTCTGCCTATACCCAATTGTACTTGCCTCCTTTGCAAAGCATTTTGGGATCTCCTGCTGCAAAGAACTCTAAGAGCTAGGTGGCATTAATGTTATTAATAATAAACACAAAAAAAGCTTTTGAAAAAACAAAAGTGCAACTGTAAAATTGTTTTTGAAATAGGTTGGCACATTCTAATCCAGAAAGCATTCTGCCTCTGTTTTTAACTGGCACATTAAATCATCTTCCCATAATTGCAACAAAACTAGCTACCAAAACAAAAAATATCTAATTTTGGTTGAAGAAATGCAATGCATTCTATCTGGTTTTCTACAACATGAGGCTGATGCATATAACTTCTTCATTATGAACACGGTTATCCACCTACCAAACTCAAATTCTTTGTAACCACCTTCAGGGTCCTTCATATGTAGAATTTTGAGCTTCAAACACGTTATAACAAACTTCCCACTGGGAACTAGGCTGAGGACAAATTTAGGCAAACTGACACATGTTACTCTAGTTCAGACCCAAGAGAAAAATTGAGATAAAAGTACAGATAGTCACTTTGTGATCTGTGGCAGGCACAATACAGATGGTTCTCTTTGTCAAATTGAACATACGGCACTTTGCAACCCAGGTAAGTGCTCAGGCATCATCCCTCACCCAGAAAGATTAAGTAAATGAGTCACTATGCAATTACCTAAATTAATGAATCTGACCAGAAAGGAGAATCTTGCCAAGACTACATACATTTCCTCATAGGATTTAGCTGTACAGCTAAACTTTCAGCCAGCTCAACCGTTTGTTTCAGCTACTTCCACATTTTAGGAACATCTGGCTACACAAAAATGTCACATTCAACCTGACCTTAAATCAAATGAATGTAGTGTTTTCAGAACAGAAATACAGTAGTGGAAAAATGCAAAATAAGCTGCATGATATTGTAGCAAACTCTCAAAACACATGGCACAAAAACAATTTCAGCAAGTGTATTGTGGCTGTCTTAAACTTAAAGGCTACATCCAGATGAGCATGGTGCCACAAACATCTCATGCAGGCTTTCCCTGTGCAACTACTTTGCAGCACAGGGGGTTTTCTTGACCCCAGGAGATCCCGGGGTCAAAAAAAACCCATACCAAAAAAAAAAAAAAGCAGGGTGGTGCACGTGGCAGCAGCACATACTGCTCACAACCGGAGCCAGGCTAGCCACAGCCACACTCTGGCTGGGGGCCAGGCTCCCTGCTGAAGGAGCTCCCCAAAGACCCAGGCCTTAGGCCACAGCCTCCTCCTACCCCATGCGGGGTAACCTGCCACACGCTGGAGCGCATGTGGCACAGGCATTCCCAGGGGAAAAGTAGAAGTGGCATGAGGTGTGCCACTGCTACTTGTCCTTGGGAAAACACATGTTCCCACTCGTAGGGACGTGCCCAAAAAAACTACTGAAAAGAAAGTTTACAATAAATGCTATTACAGTAAACCCTTTTCTGACTCAGCTTACTTTTGAGGCCTAGGCACTGAGAATCTCTACCTGATATTAGCTTCTGTAGGCGTTGCCAGACAGTTAGAACTCCTCTCCCTTTATTTTGAGCAATGAATAAATGAACCCAAATGCAAGTTATTATCCTAGTCACTTCCTTGTCAAATATGGCTAGATTACCTTCTGAGATAATTAAAAGTTATAATTCTGTAATCAAATGCATTTAGAAATGTAAGAAAGGCTAGCTGAATCAGATAGTTGGTTAAGGGATGCGTGATTTTTTTTCTTGGAAGGTAGCGGTTCAAATTAAAAATTAACAAAAGTCATTACCACCTGATAACTATAAGGGTGGACTACATAAAATAAGTCAGTATGCTTTATAAACAGGTATTCCCACCCATAAAAAACCCATAATTGTTAACCATTGCACCAAGTCTTCATAACCTTTAGAAAAGCTACAGGGCTGAATGGCATGGAAATTACCAAAAGTAAAAGTAATACTGAAGTTCCCAAACTTTATGAATCTGATGTTGTTGCATAAATTTTGATCTCAGCGAAGGTTCTGCAAAAATGTTGATACGATTTAGGAAGAATAAGACACAATGCCTACTGGTATAACTTGGAAAGAGCTAGTTGTATGATGCGCAGGCAGAGGCAGATCCAAGGGGGCACGGTGGTGTGATAACACCCCACTTCTGTCACTGCTGTCCCTGGCCCCTGGGCCAGCAAGCAGGACAGGAAGTGGGGAGGACCCAGTCCCTACCACCATTGTCCTCACCTAACCCAGGCATGGGAAGAGCCCCAGAGCTGCACCTTACCCATTCCAGCAGGTGGGCTCCAGGCAGTAACACTGAGGGGTGCTGGGCCTGGCTGTGGAGAGTGGCAGTGGTGGGTGGGTTGCCTCCTTCTGCACCAGCAACCTGCCACAACCTCCCGAAATGCTCCCCACTAGCTGGGGAGCAGGTGATGGAAGGAGGAACCTACCCACTGCTGCCTCTTTCCCCAGCTGACATAGATACAGAAAGAGCCCCAGAGCTGCTCCCTTGGCCAGCAGGGCATGGTTGGGAGGCAAACAAGGAGCAGGTGCTGAAAAAAGAAACTTGTATTCCTGCCTGGCTGAAGCAGGCTTCCCCCTGCCCACCTTCCTACCAACCACGGAGCCCCAGGCACTTTTCCCCCACCTCTGCCATGTGCCACACCTGTTTTAGTAAATCCACCTAAGTGTGCAGGTGGAGAGGAAGATATTTCTCTTTCCTTCTTTATCATTTTTCTTCAAAGGATGTTATTTCTACAAAGGCTACATGCAGCAGATACTTTTATTGTCATAACAGATTTCCTTGGACAATACACAACATGTTTTGGGGGGTTTTGGGAGGAAAGGGAAGAGAAGGGTTAAGAGGTATATATAGGGTTCACTGATTCTAGCTCCTTTAAATATATATTCCTGCCTTCCTAGCCAGATTCACTGAAGCAAAGGTATATAGGATTCCTGATCCTAAAAGACGGAAATGACCAAAATATGTTTCGACAGAGCTCAGTAAGTAAAAAGGATAAAACAACCCTTGCTCCTTTTACAAGACTGCCTTCTTTGACCTCTTCAGTGGATTGTTGATCATTAGAGAAGAAAACTTGTTTAAGATTAGCATTAAGAGAGTGCAAAATAAACTGTAAAAAGTATTGAAGCCCGCATGGCATACATGTATATTTCCTGTAACAAAGCGTTATGTAGCAGGTCTCGTGTGAAGCAGCAGTTGCTATAGTAGCAATGCTTTTTTTAATGAAAAACTGATAGAGCAACAGAATAAAACAAGCAAATTGTAAATGGCTCTGTGATGGCATGCATAAATCCTACACTGGCAGAGAAGGGGTTAGCAGAAGCCAAAGAGCTCAATTAGCCCCCATGGCTGCAGGAAGATGCAAGTAATTATGTCAGCAGGCACCCCTGCAAAGGACTTTGTTCTTTTAAATGGAAAGAGGCCTGTGTGTAAAAGAGACTCATTTGAGAGAACTGGCTGTGCTAGGCAAAAGCTAGTGTCTGACATGGGCACTGAGTAACATGGGCAAGGCTGAAGGTATTATCCCCGGGGGGGGGGGGGGGTCATTGTTCTGCATGAAGAATGAGGAGCCAGATCACATGTCCAGGGCTAGAAATTTAAGCTACGGTAGGCAGAAGATGTTTTAGTTCAGGTTTATTTGTTTGGCATATTCTTGCTTTACTAAAGAAGGAGAAATACTGAGTTTTGAAACTCTGAAAGAGGAGAGCAGTTGAAAAGCGCCTTGATGTGGTATTGCTAAAGAGTGCTGGTAGGACCGAGTCATGAAAGGCAACACAACAAGGTGGTGCCAAGTAAGCGCAAAAAACCTATGCCCAACCCTGGGGTAAGGCTGTTGAGTCCCACTGCTAATGTCCTGATAATTCTTATGATTCCTACTCTTTCAAAAGGGTCTGATTTAGATTTTTATTCATCAAAAAATGTTATAAATCAAGAATACATTCCAAGAGTACACACCACAGAACAGGTGTCTCTTCATGATAAGAGGTTTGCATTTGTCATCGTTGAGGAGTATTGATGAGATACATGTCTCAAACATTCAGGGATACTAATCAGCAAATCTTTATTTATATTTTACGTGACGGAAGGATTATTTTTAATAGTGTTTTTCATATCAGACGAATATCAACAAAATGCTAACTAAGGATGGTATCAGCTACACAAAACACTGGTTTCAATAAGCCTATTGTTTTGATACAAAGTTAGTTAAAATTTTACTAAAAAATGCGTTTTTATATGGTATATCTGAAACAAGGAGTTACTCCAGATCTAAACTGATGACACAATAGTAGATTTAGCCCACTTACTGCAATGAGTTCTGTTTAAATTATACAATCTGTCTGCCTGTGCAGATATTCAGGACAGCTGCATAAGTGAAAGAATAATACCTATCTTTTATTACAACTTCTTAAAATACAAATCAGCATATGAACAGTGCAGAGCCTGACTGGCTGAAAGCAGTCTGGCTGTCTTTCATATAGGATCACAGGAAAGTAGGGCTGGAAGGGATCTCACAAGGTCACCCAGTCTAGCCCCCACTCAAAGCAGGATCATCCCTGACTAGCCAAGTGTCTGTACAATTTGCTTTTAAAAAATTCCTAGGGATGAAAAGTCCACAATTTTTTTTAGGAAACCTGTTCCAATGCTTGACCACCCTCATACTCAAAGCTCCTCTTAATCTCCAATCTAAATTTCCTCTGCTGCAGCTTGAAGCCATTGCTCTTAGTCCTGTCCCCTATGGCAACAGAAAACAGCCTATCTCCATCCTCTCTATAATCACCCTTCAAGTACTTGAAGACTGTTATCAAATCCTGTCTCGGTCTTCTCTTCTTCAAACTAAATAACATTAGTTCTTTCAGCCTTTCCTTATAAGTTATGCTTCCCAGGCCTCTAATAATTTTTCTGCTCTCCACTGGACTCTTTCCAATCTATCCACATCTTTCTTGAAGCGTGGGGATCAAAATTGGACACAATACTCCAGGTGAGGCCTCACCAGTGCTGAATATAATGAAAGAATCACTTCTCTTGATTTACAAGAGACATTTCTGTTAATACAACCGAGCATGCTATTTGCTTTTTCTGGAAAAAGAGCATGCTTTTGGCTCATATTCATCTCACAAACTACCGCAGGGGTATCAAAGATAGGGCTCCATTGGCTGAAATCAGCCTGTGGGCCTTATCTACTGGCTGCCAGTGCTGTCCATGGGTCTCGAATTGTACCCGCACACCACTGTAGCATGTGCTAGACTGGCCCTGCACTCTGCACAGAGAGCATAGGGCTGGGCTGGTGCACACTGCAGGTGGCTCTTGGGGTTCTGGGTGTATCTTGTGCTCCGGGCTGATCCCAGGCGCACGCTGCCAGCTATGCTCCAGATCAGTCCAGGGCACACGCTGTGCTCCGGGGCCAAGCTGGAACGCAGGTTTCCAGCTGCACTCAGGGCTGGTCCAAGGCACATGCTGCCAACTGCATTTAAGGTCAGTCAGGGGTGCACAATGCCCACAGCACCATGTGGAACTGGCCTCACACACTGGATCCAGCACACAAGGCCAGCCTGTGGGCCCGATCCAGCAAAAGAACTAGCCCAGCACCACTCATCCTGCCCAGAATACCTGATGAGTTTGACACCCCTGGTATACTAAGAATCCCGATTCTTCTCTGCAGTACTACACCCTAGCCAGTCGTTCCCCAATCTATATTTGTACATGCAATTATTCAGACTTGTCAGACTTTGCACTTGTCCTAGCAGAATTTCATCTTAATGATTGTGCATCAATTTTCCAATCTATCCACGTAATTCTGGATCCTAGCCCTACTGTCCAGAGTGTCTGCAATTCCACCCAACTTGGTGTCATCCACAAATTTGCTAAGCGTGCACTCAATCCCATTGTCATAATCATAAATCGAGATGTTGAACAATACCAGACCCCTAGGGAGCCCCACTTGATGCCACCTTCCAATTAGACATTGAGCCAAACTACTCATTGAGCATGATGATCCAACCAGTTAGGTATCCACTTTACAGTACTTTCATCTACTCTGTATTCCCTTAGCTTGTTAATGAGACTGTCCCAAGAGGCAAAAACTTCTGGAGGGAAAAAATTTTGATTTGTGAACTGCTATTTGCTGATGATGCTGCACAGATAGACCACACAGAAAGCAATCTTCAAAGCCTCATCAGTCACTTCACTCACGCCTGCCAAGAATTTGGTCTTACAATCAGCATCATAAAGACCAATGTTACGGGACAGAACATTGATTCACCATCAGTGATCACAATAGGTGAAAATGTATTGAATGTTGTAAGTAAATTTACATACCTCAGCTCCACTGTTATCAACAATCTGTCACTTGAGGCTGAACAGAATACCCGTATTGGCAAAAAATCAGGTATCATGAGCAGGCTAAGCAAACAAATGTAGAACGACAGCAAACTGACTACTAAGACCAAGGTCAAAGTATACCATGCCTGTGTCAACACTCTTTTGTACGGCAGCAAATCCTGGCTGATATACTCAAGAAAAACACCTACCTAAACAGCTTCTACTTACATTGAATTCACCCTAGCAATTTCCTGGTGGGAAAAAGGTGGCCAGGCTGAAGTCTTGGAACATGCCAACATTGCAAGCATCCATTCCCTTCTCAGGATTGACTTCAATGGCCTAGTCATATGCAGAGAATGAATGATGGCCATATACCCAGGAGCTCTTGAATGGAGAACTCTTTACAAGAAGAATGCTGTGTAGGCATCCTTACCTCTGTTCCAAATAGGCTTGCAAGAGAGATATGAAGGCAACAAACATCAAGCCAAATGACTTAGAGAAGACTGTTGAGGAGCAAAGTGCTTAGAAACAACCCATTAAGCATGGAATTAAGGCTTTTGAGGAAAGAAAAGCCCAACATGCAGAGGAAAGAAGAAACCTCAGGAAGAACCACGCACCATATTCAGGACTGTTAGATACAAGCTTCACATGTGGTAAATGCAGAAGGGACTGTCACTCAAGAATTGGGCTTTACAGCCACCCTTACAGATGTTCAGCAAGCTGATGTCTCACTCAGCACGATTCTGCTGTTTCGCGAAACAGATGCCTACTGCCTGAGAGGCAGTGTCAAAAGCCTTGCTAAAGTCAAGGTACATCACAACCATTGCTCTTCCCCCATCCACAGAGCCTGTCCCTTTATCATAGAAGGGAATCAGGTCAGACATGACTTGCTTTTTGGTGGATCCATGCTGGCTGTTCCTGATCACCTTGTTCTCCTCTAGTTGCTTCAAAACACATTCCTTG